TGGTACTAATACTTCACATCATCTTGATTCTGTCTCTCTGTTTCAGCAGCCTAGTGATTGTCCATTAGGACTTCAAGATCCCTCTCTCAGTTATTGCTATTGAGTCAGATTCCACATATTCTGTATCTTGACATTTGGTTTTTCTTGGCATTGAATTTTATTTTTTTAGATAGGGCCCAGTGTTCAGATATATTGAGATTCTTCTGTATCTTGAGCTTGTCTTCTGGGGTGTTGGCTATTCCTCCCAGCTTAATGTCATCTTCGAATTTGATGAGTTCCCCTTCTATTCTCTCATCTAAATTGTTTATGAAGATATTAAAGAGTAGTGAGCCTAAGATAAGAGCCTTGGGGTATCCCACTGCATACTTCCCTCCATATAGTTTTAGTTCCATTAAGGACCACACATTGAGTGTGGTTTGTCAGCCAGTCACAAATCCATCTACTGGTGATGCTATCTATCCCACATTTTTTTTTTACTTGCAAGAAGTAGATTGTGGTCTACTTTACAAATGCCTTACTGAAATTCCAGTATACCTTGTCCACAGCATTTTGCTGGTCCACTCATTTAATCACTTTATCAAAGAAGAAATAAGATTTGTTTGGCATGATCTTGTTTTGACAAACCCATGTTGGCTTCTGGTTATAAGTTTGCTTGCTTCTAGGTGTTTACAGATCTTTTGCTTGATTATCTTTTCCAGGATCTTCTCAGGCATTGATGGCAGGCTGATTGGTCTGTAGTTTTGTGAATTTTGCTCCTTTTTTGAAGATGGGAACTATATCAGTGTTCTGACCAAGTCACTATGGCAAGGCGACCTTTAAGTAGCGCCTGTTTATTAATAAGATAACTTTTATTGTCATTTTTTTTACTGTGAGCACAGTGGCCACATGAAAAAGGAAATTCTGTTGTCTGCTCTCAAGAGAAAGTATATATATCTACCCATAAACATAACACACACATTCACATTCTATATACATACATAAATATATACCTGCATCTATACATACACACACACACACACACACACATGTATGTATATGTGTTTGTGTTTAAGATGATTAGGGGACTGGAGGCCAAAGCATATAAAGAAAGGCTGCTGGAATAGAATCAAGGGATAGAATCAAGATCACGTGAAGTGTTAATACCACTTTACAATGCCTTGATAAGGCCACACTTGGAATACTGCATCCAGTTGTGGTCACCGCGATGTAAAAAATATGTTGAGACTCTAGAAAGAGTACAGAGAAGAGCAACAAAGATGATTAGGGGACTGGAGGCTAAAGCATATAAGAAACGGTTGCTGGAATTGTGTATGTCTAGTTTAACGAAGAGAAGGATGAGGGGGGACATGATAGCAGTGTTCCAGTATCTCAGGGGCTGCCACAAAGAAGAGGGTGTCAAGCTATTTTCCAAAGCGCCTGAAGGCAGGACAAGAAGCAACGGATGGAAACTAATCAAGGAGAGAAGCAACCTAGAACTAAGGAGAAACTTCCTAACAGTTAGAACAATTAACCAGTGGAACAACCTGCCTCCAGAAGCGGTGAATGCTCCAACAGTGGAAGTCTTTAAGAAGAGACTGGACAGCCATTTGTCTGAAATGATATAGGGTTTCCTGCCTGAGCAGGGGGTTGGACAGGTGCTCACTTACCATTTTCTTGCCTATCTTAACTTGTGTTTCTAATCTGTTTTTTATGGCACTATTTTTGATAGGTTGGACTGTTTTTTCCCTTTGTGTAAAGACAGATGCAAAAAATGAGTTAAATAGTTCTGCTTTCTCCCTGTTGCTTGTCACCTTCTTGCCACTTTCCCCCACTAATGGATCAATCATTTCCTTAACTTTTTTCTTGTTTTTTACATGTTGAAGGAAGCTTTATTTGTTATTTTTTACTTTTGTCACAAGCCTTAGTTCATTTTGAACCTTAGCTTTCCTCACTTCATCTTTGCAGGCTCACACTATTTGCTGATATTCTGCAAATACTGTAGTTATTAGTTATGTGCCCTTCTTTCCATTTTTTATACTTGTCCTTTTTGTCTTTCAATTTATCAGAGAGTTCTTTATGCAGCCATGCTGGTTTCTTTTGAGAGCTGTTATTTTTCTTCTTTGTTGGTATTGTACTAGACTGGGCTTTTATTATCTCACTTTTCAAAATTTCCCAAGCTTCTTGAGTTGTTTTCCCCTTGAGGATTCTCATCCATGGAATCCTTCCCAAGCCCTCTCTGATTTTATTGAAATTAGCTCTCTTAAAGTCCAAGACTCTAGTTTGATTGTGTTCTATTGCTTGTGCTTCCATAATATTGAATTCCAATATTGCATGATCACTTCCTCCCAAGGTTCCTGTGGCTTCAACACCTTTCATCATTTCATCTCTGTTAATGAGAATTAAATCTAATATGGCTAATCCCCTAGTTCCCTTCTCTACTTTTTGGGAGACAAAGTTGTCTGCTAGGTTTGTCAAGAATCTGTTTGATCTTCCACTTGGTGTAGAGTTTGTCTCCCAGTTGATGTCAGAGTAATTAAAGTCCCCCATTGCTATTGTGATGTGCTTCCTATATACCGTACTTTAGTTAGCTGACTAGCCAAATGTTCATCTATTTGGTTGGGTGGCCTATAGTATACACCTATGCCAATGTCATTCCCCCCTCTTTTATATTGACCCAAATACATTCAAGACAGTTTTCATCATTGTTGTGCTCTATTTCTGTAGAGATGTAGTTATTTCTTATATAGAGAGCAACTCCACCTCCTCTTTTATTTGGTCTGTTTCTTTTAAATAATTTAAATCCCTCTAGTGTGTGTTCCAGTTGTGGGTTTCATCCCACCATGTTTCCGTAATGACAACAATATCATATCTACTCTCATTAACCTGAATTTCTAGTTCACCCTGTTTACTGTTCATACTCTGTGCATTGGTGCATAGACATTTGAGTCCTTTATGACTGACCCTGTGTTTACTTTCTACATAACCTGTATGGTGCCTGAGTTCTCCTATTATCTTACCACCTGTTTGGTTAGTGCACTTAGTGTGGCACTCGCTACTAAAAGCTTGATTTTGCTTGACAGCAAGGTTGATATTCTTGTCCATACACACATCTATTTTACATGCACTGATAGCCCTATAATTTTTAGATTGCCGGGGACAGGGATGTTCTATATCAATTAACTCACTGTCCCCATTGTTTAGTTTAAATATTCCTTCAGAAAATCTGTGAATTTATTGCCGAGTAACTCAGTCACTTTCTTTGATGGATGCAAACCATCTCTTTTGTACATTTTTTCATTGGATCAGCTACAGACATCGTGACTAATATAACCAAAGCCTTCCCCTTTACACCACTCCTTTAGCCACATATTGAATTCTGCTATACGCTGGTCTTTTCCATTTTGCTCCTTATATACTGGTAAAACCTCTAAAAAAGTAAGCCTACAGCCTATCCTGCTAAGTTCCTGCTCCAAGCTCTGGAAATCATTCTGCAAAGAGAGTACATCTTTTTGGGACAGATTGTTAGTGCCAAGATGTACAATAGCATCCACATCACAGTTTTCCTGGCATTCTTGACTATTTAAAAAATATGCTTCTTGTCCCTACTGGCAGTAGCACCTGGAAGACACCTGACCTCTTTCAAAACCTCTGTGTCCTTTCCTAAATTTACATCCCTTATAATTGAATCACCTACCAGAAGGTAGCTTCTCTTTTTGGATGCCTTTCTATTCTTGCATGACTGATGTGTAATATCTGATTCACACTTCTCCCTGTCAAAAACAAGTTCTTCATCTCGGACCACGATCCCCTGCTTATTTGAGTTATCATCACAAATACCTTTACCTGTCTCCTTAATGTCCCTATTAAGGTCAGCAAGGGCACTGTATCTGTTATGCAGGGACACAACGAAAGCTTTGTGTTTATGATTCACAGCTCTCACCCTGCCAGATGTCACGGCTGTCCACACTGTCCTTCTCCTGCAGGATCTATGTGGTAGAGGGGGCTGATAGCGCAGAGACTCAATAGAAGGGCTGAACTGGACACCTAATTTCTGCCTGAAGAGCACAGATTACAGACCCTAAATAAATAATCTGTCCTTGTAGATTAGTGATTTGTTTACAGATAGGACAGTTTCCAAGCTTGAAAAGAGTACTGTGAAAGACAGCTGCAAAACAAGTGTTGCCCTGAACTAAGCCAGACATTCTGAGATGAAAGGAATCTCAGACACACTTACCCTGAATGTACCGCTGCTGTTTTTGATTTTTAGTCATATGATTCACGCGCCGTTAGGCACACAGGCTGCTACTTTCCTCCTCCACCCTCCTCCTTCTTAACTCACAGATTGTAGCTCTTCCCAGCAACCTCTAGGCAGTTTAAATGCAATGGAGGTCCAATCAGCAGGGGCTCAGTTACTTTCCTCCTCCACCCTCCTCCTTCTTAACTCACAGATTGTAGCTCTTCCCAGCAACCTCTAGGCAGTTTAAATGCAATGGAGGTCCAATCAACAGGGGCTCAGGCTCAGCTATTTTCCTCCTCCACGCTCCTCCTTCTTAACTCACAGATTGTAGTGAGTAGGAGGTTATTCTAGTATTGTGGCATGTTTGCTTATTCATTGTAATGTATACTTTTTTCTCTTTTTCACATCTTCTGCAACCATTTTGTAAACAATTAAAGTTACACTTTTATTTGAATCTTATAGACAAAGAGGATGCCAATAACAGCACACTGGACAACTGAGAATAACAAGCAACATTGGAAAGGAATGCAAATCCAGCCAGAAATCAAAATATTTTCCATTTCCTTCAGAAAAACCACATAATTCTCCTTCTCCAGCAGCTGATAGACAAAAGAGAGAAAATTAAGAAGAGGTTTTGAGCTGGAAAAAGTAGAGTATGCGAAACGCAAAGATGCATTGCATGAAAGATCAAGGGAGATTATTTTTCAGTCAGAAAAAGATGGAAATATCTGGAAGTTAGGGGGGAGGAAAAGGTTGATTGGACAGCCACGTAGGTCAGAGAGTGATGCAGGCCTTGTTCTGGGAGGAAGAAAACGGTTTTAATCGAAACACTAAACAAGGGATCACACGTATTTTGACCTCCTCAAGAATATCAGCACTGGAAAAGCTCCATAGATCTGCCTATTGTGGGAAAAGCATAGATTGCAAATCACAGGTGGTTATGCATGACAAGATCCATTCAGGAGAAAAGTGATGCTAATTATCAGAATGTGGCAAAATCTTTGGTCAGAACAGCTCTCTTGTGGTTCATGGACGGACCCACACAGCAGAGAAGCCATACAAGTGTTCCCAATGTGGTAAATACTTTAGTGAGCATGGCAATGTGGTGATACATCACTCTTATCACATATGAGTGTCCAGATTGTGTGAAAGTTTCATTGGAAATTCCCACCTCATGAGACAACAGAGGGCTCACACAGGAGAGAAACTCTTTGAATGCTCTATCTGTGGGAAAAGTTTCAGTCAGAATTTCCATCGCATGAGACACCAGAGGACTCAAATAGAGGGAAAAATGTTTGAATGTCCTTTCTGTGGGAAAAGTTTCAGTTACAATTCCATCCTGGTGACACACCAGAGAACTCATACAGGAGAGAAACCCTTTGAATGTCCTATTTGTGGGAAAAGTTTCAGTCACAAGTCCAGCCTGGTGACACACCAGAGGACTCACACAGGAGAGAAACCCTTTGAATGTCCTGATTGTGGAAAAAGTTTCAGTCGGAATTATGAGCTGGTGACACACCAGAGGACTCACACAGGAGAGAAAGCGTTTGAATGTCCTGATTGTGGGAAAAGTTTCAGTCAGAATTATGAGCTGGTGATACACCAGTGGACTCACACAGGAGTGAAACCCTTTGAATGTCCTGATTGTGGGAAAAGTTTCAGTAAGAATTCCAACCTGCTGAAACATCGGAGGACTCACACAGGAGAGAAACCATTTGAGTGTTCTGATTGTGAGAAAAGTTTCAGTAACAATTCCAACCTGGTAATACACCAAAGGACTCACACAGGAGAGAAACCCTTTAAATGTCGTGATTGTGGGAAAAGTTTCAGTCACAATTCCAGCCTGGTGACACACCAGAGGACTCACACAGGAGAGAAACCCTTTAAATGTCGTGATTGTGGGAAAAGTTTCGGTAACAATTCCAACCTGGTAACACACCAGAGGACTCATACAGCAGAGAAGCCCTTTGAATGTCCTGATTGTGGGAAAAGTTTCAGTCACAATTCCAGCCTGAAGACACACAGGAGGACTCACTCCAGGGAAAAACCATACCAGTGTCCAGATTGTGTGAAAAGTTTCCTTTGGAATTCTGAGCTGGTGAGGCACCAGAGGACTCACACAGGAGAGAAACCATATGAGTGTCCAGACTGTGGGAAAGATTTCAGTACTAGGACTAGCCTTATGAATCATGTGCTTATACACACAGGGGAGAAACCATTTAAGTGCCCTGAGTGTGGGCGGTGCTTCAGGAAACATTCTATCCTTATCACACACAAGAAAATCCACATTAGGCCCAAAGTGATGAGTGCAGAGAAGGCTTGAATTTCATTCCTAATGTTTCACTGTAAGTCCAGCTGAGAAATTGACTCTTTAATTTGACTACAAAGCATTTGCGTGATTATTTGTAGTCAAATATGTCATGGTATTAGATGTGAAGGAGGAAAGAAAAAAATGGAACATGTTAGCTTGATAATAACTGGCCATCAGCAGCAGAAGTTGTTGGATATTTATTTTTGCACAAATTTGGCTATTCTGTAAAAATTAGTAATAGCTTTTGAGAAAGAAAGAAAAAAGGAAAGTGTCAGCATTTCTGTAAACATTGGGACAGGGTAATGCATAGCTCTTTTCCCAAAAGATGGGAGACATTTCCTGTACTTTAACTTCTCTCCCAAGGCTCTTTAATTTTTTTCCCAAAAATTTATTGTTCAAATAAAGAGAGGAACATTATTTGTAGCAGTGAATGACATGCAGATAGATTATTCTGATTATGCTGGGATTGGAAGATACCAAAAACTCCACGATTATTTATTTCACCAACACAATTCAAAAAGACAGTTTACAATTTTTGTTTAGTAGATCACATGCAATGTGAAGGACACTCTGTGACCAGGATCATATAATACTATGAATGTGACAAAAACCTTGGTCAGAATAGTTCCCTTGAGGTTCATAGAAAGACCCACACAGGACAGATGCCCTATAAGTCCTCCCAAAGTGGTAAATGCTTTAGCAAGCATGGCAACTTGGTGATACATCAGAGGACTCACACCAGGGAGAAACCATATGAGTGTCCAGTTTGTGGGAAAAGTTTCATAGCAAATTCCCACCTGGTGATACACCAGAGGACTCACACAGGAGAAAAACCATATTGGTGTCCTGATTGTGGGAAAAGTTTCAGTCATAATTCCAGCCTGGGGATACACCAGAGGACTCACACAGGAGAGAAACCTTTTGAATGTCCTGATTGTGGGGAAAATTTCAGTTGGAATTATGACCTGGTGACACAAAGAGGACTCACACAGGAGAGAAACCTTTTGAATATCCTGATTACGGGAAAATTTTCAGTTGGAATTATGACCTGGTGACACACCAGAGGACTCACAGAAGAATCTATAAGAGTGTCCAGAGTCTAGAAAAAGTTTCATTCAGTTTGCAGTATAGTGAAATACCAGGGCATTCATACAGGGCAAGTGTTCATATTCTGGGTAATATTTTAGTGCCCTTCTGTACTTGTGAAATACCGGAGGATATATATAGAAGAGAAACCATATGAGAGTCTGGATTGTGGGAAAGATTTCAGTACTAGGTTTAATTTTTTAAGTCATGTAGGTTTACACACAGGACAGAAATCTTTCTGATGTCCAGCCTGTAGACCAGACATGTCCAAAGTCCGGCCCGTGGGCCATTTGCGGCCCGCGTTCCGGTTTAATACGGCCCTCTAACAGCCCTCCCTGCTCTATGTAAATGCGGCCCTCCCACGGCCCTCCGGCAAGTCCCATGAGAGAGAGACAGAGACAGAGACAGAGGCACTTGCACTTGCACTTCTGTCTCTCTCTCTCTCTCTCTCTCATGGGACTTGCCCCCTCACAGGGCTCCTCATTGGCCCTGCGCCCGGGTGCCCCGCCCCCTGGGAGAAGGGCGGCCAGGAAGTCCCTTTCCCGGGCTGGCCCCGTCCCAGGCGCACGTGGCTGGGGAGCCATGCGGGGAAGCCCCAAGATCCCCGCTGGGAGTGGCCTGCCCGAGCCTCCGCTGAGCGGGCCAGCCTTCCCGCAAACCGCGGCCCCGAGAGCAGCCCCTCCGATGCCCAGCCGGCGCCAAGC